AAATACACATTAGTTTATTACAGATAGTCCAGCTTTATTCAGTCAGCTGAGGTAACCCTTACTGCTCACTTCACTCTTTCTCTCTTACAAACGCCATCATAAATCTCTAAGACGTGGCAGAGTAAACATGCGATCAGCCAATCGCTGCAGTCGTTGGCACGATCACGTGATTACTAGGAATGCGTCTCATGGTTGAAGTCTTGCAAAGTCGCCACTACTAAATACACTTAGTGAAAAATTGTGTATCAAATTCTTGTAATATATGTTTATAATATCTACCCTAACCATGCAAGTTGTTGATTCTAAACAACACTGCCAAAACGTGGGATCTAAACGTGCGTACATAATGTCGTCATGGTAAAATATGTGCCCTCTAACAAATTTGAGCTGACTTCTAGCTCAAGTGGAAAGATCTATAATTACTAAATATTGCCGAGTTGAAACCTTAAAAACTTCAAAGACTATGTGTTGCAAATTCCCTGTCTACTGGAAATGTTTAAATTTACCAACATGAGGAAACTCACAAAGTTATTAAATATCAGTTCAAAACGTAATATATCAACATCACAAAAAAACGTTCATAAAATCGAAGCTATTTACTTTTATTTTCTAAATTCAAAGGGCGGTAGTCGTCGAGCCACGCATGCTTGAGATATATGGATCTCATATGAACAAAGATGGCGACTGTGACTGTTGCGCAGATCAACAAGTACAAACTGAGACGTTATCAATCTTTAATTAGATATTTTTTAGGTGATTGGTGGGTATCGAAGGAGTCACCGGCGGTGATTAGTGCTAAGTTAAAGCGCGGTGGTCGTCGCGCATCGCGTGTTCGAATTTTATGTAAATAAACAATGTATTTTACACGCGTTGTATACATCGCTATGAGTCCCATATCGAACAGGACGCGGCACGACGACTGCCGCCCTTTAAACTTTATACTTGTGATTTCCATTAGAAGAGCGCATTGGATTGTGGGAAAATCAATGTTTATCAACACAAATGTCGCACGTGTGACTGCCGCCCTTTAATTTGGCATAATAGTTTTATTATTATCATAAGCCCTTTAAATGTCCTAAAGTGAACACGCCGTCACAGTGACTATATGGAAATAAGCAATACGATGTACTTAGCTATGATAATACGCGGCGACAAATACCGACCATCACCAGAGATAATCAGTGAAAATGCTTTATAGATCAGGTGATTCTGTCAACTCTTTTCAAAAGGTTGACTACAGGCATGGATGTGGCTGGAGATGTTGAAACCACCGGGACATTTCGCTATCGCTTAGTTTTAGCACTGATACAGAATGAATTTTTGAAAGCGATCCCGAAAATGCGTGAGATTAATATACGGTATACGCGGCAGTCCAGATTGCGTTTGGTCCGGCGAATGACAATTTTGAATAAAGTTCACAAAACTGGATTCGATGCTCGCTGTGCGAATGACATAAGGAACTTCCCTGCTTCCAGGATACCGATTCTGCGCAGGATACCAACTGTGCGATGGGATCCCGAAAGCCGCGGTACGGCAATTAAGCAACGTTGAAGTAAATAGGCTTTTCTTCATAATAAATAGGTTTTTTTTCATGTAATATTGTCACCACGATAATGCGCTAATATTCTACAAACCCATAAGAACATACTTACTCGATCGGCTAAATCGACTTGACCATCTTCTCGGACGTTTCCCTCTTCCACACGCCTTGCCAGACTCTCTATTGCAGGTGTTCCATAAATGAACGTTGCTACCACTAAGCATAGGACGATCAGTATTGCACGTTTCATCTTCAATTCTGGTTT